AGTACAAGGCATAGCACTTAGTGATGAGTTACAAGCTTTAGAAAATGCAGATGTAGATCCAAGATGTAGATCCAGTATGAGACAAGCCTTAAAAGCTGCCTCATCTTCCTCAGTGCAAAGGACTTCTAGTCCATTCTCTTGATCAGCAGCTCCCAACCTTTTACATATTCCGCACTCCTAGAATGCTTCTGATATATTCTCGCACCCCTTACAAAATTTCGAAATAACAGCAATAAATTATGCATATACACTATAATTTTGAAAACCCAAGTTTTCACACCCCATGGAATATTCTCTCGCACCCCCGGTTGGGAACCCCTGCTCTTGATGGACTTATTATCTTTTAGAAGAAAGAAAATGAAGTAGACAACAAGGGGATTATTTTTAGATTTCTGAACCGGAACCCATCATCCCTAGATTTTTAAAGAGTCCCTCAGTTTGGATTCCACTTCTGATGATTCATTACAAAAATATATATCCCTATACAGGTAGTCCTTGACATATGACTGTTACCCAGCCTGCCCATTACGTTTGTATGTCATGACAGTCATAACTGGCCCCATTTTTGCAGCAGTCCTTAAGCGAATGCAGCAGTCATAAAGTGAACACTAGGTTAGTTAAGTGAATGCTGTGGCTGTTGAGTAAATGCTTTGCTACAGGTGTGGTTTTGAGGAACATCCGAAGTGATGACCAGTTTTTGACAAAACCATTATGAAATGTGACCACAGGGTGTTACAAATAGCTGTAAATGTTGGCCAAGCACTCAAAGTTCAGTCACGTGACCACGGAAGGGACCCAACTGTTGGATGATCAATTGCAAGTTGACAACTACCTGGAGTTTTCTAGGCAGCAATATAGAAATATACTGTAGTAGTCTCCTTCCAGCATTTTTTTTTTCTGATTTGCCAGTCTAGCTATAGCCCTCAGGCTTTCCTGATCTCCCATTGAAGCTAATCTTGTCTGATTCTGCTTTGTTTTTTTTTTTTTGGTGCTGCTACCTAATAATATCAGATTGCCATTAAGTTTATAATGTAGGTCTGTTCTCAAGACTTCATATACTTTGATATATAAATGTAGTCCTCGACTTACAACAGTTCGTTTAGTGACTGTTCAAAGTTACAACAGCACTGAAAACAGTGACTTCCCCGTTGTCACATGATTTACATTCACATGCTTGACAACTGACTCACATTTATGACGGTTTCCATGTTCCGGACTCATGCGAGTCCCTTTTGCGACCTTCTGACAAACAAAGTCAATGGGGAAGCCAGATTCACTTAACAACCACGTTGCTAATTTAACTCTTGCAATGATTCACTTAACAAATGTGGCAGGAAAAGTCGTAAAATGGGGCAAAACTCACTTAACAAATTTTTCACTTAGTGACATAGATTTTGGGCTCAGTTGCGGTTGTAAGTTGAGGACTACTTGTACTTTAAGTCAACTCCAGAATTATTTGCCAAGCCAGTGTTAGGCATGCCAATAAAAGAATACAGATCAGAATTTTCCATTATAAGCACAGTGGAAATGCATTAATACAGAGTCCTATGTGCGACAGAAAGAATCAGGACCATCAGTTAGGTGGAAGCATAGATTTATTCAAGCCTATACACAAGAATCTGGTCAACTAAAGTTCAACAATAAATTGGCGCCAGATAAGGGTTAGTGGGTTGGATTTGGAGCACTTTTGGGAATGCAACGACTCTAAGCTGATGACACATTTAACTCCCCCCCCTAAGCTTTGCCTGCTCTTCTACATCCTGCTCCTATTTGAGCATTCTAAGTGAGTTCTCCATTTGGATTCTGAGTAAATTCATCTTGTGTCTTAATGAAAACCCCTAGAAACCTCTTGCAGGCACAGTGCCCACAATGCTGCAGCTTCCACACCCTTGAAACCATCAAGCATTTATTTGCTATTGTCATTCCCTTTCCGTTTTGTAATTTTTAGGTTCTTTGGCTTTGGATGACAAATGATTGCAGACATGATAATTTTTCATAGGGGAGGTGGTCCAAACTGGTAAAATTATATGCATGCTTAATAATAAGTGTGTAGGGCTATCTACCAGTATCTGTGTAGTAAATCTAATTAAAATAAGGACATTGTTCTAAGTTAATTAATGATTTGAATTCTTCTTTCATGTATAGCAGAGCTTACAGGATAATTATCTCTGTGCATTAATCTTTTCCCATTCTTTCCCTTCATCTGAAATCCACTTAAGGAAGATGACACCAAGGAGGTATTAAAGACAGATAAGAGCAAGGTGTTTCAGAAATGGGACATATGAAAAGGGATGGCAAAGAGGAACTACAGAGATGGCATGTGATTTTTTTTAATATATAGTTGCCTTGAGTTGACATAAGTGAATCGAGGGGGGGGGATCTGCAGTTTTAATAGATTCAAGTTATATATAAAGCTCTCGGCTATATCCCAATTTTTACAAAAAAAGACGGTATGATGTTTTTGTTTCTGCATTATAAGGTTTCAAAGTGCAGACAGTGGCAGATTTTCTGCACATAGAGCATAAGAAGATGGAAGTAGTTGTGCATAGATTGGGAAACAATGAAAATAGCATCTTCGTTGACAAAAAAATATCTGACGTTAAATTAACTCAGGAAATGATCACAAATCAATCACTGTCTGAAGAATGACCTAACACAGGCATGTCAAACTTGCGACATCACGTGATGTCGCATGACATATCACGACTTTTTCCCCATTGCCGGCAATGGAGTGGGTACGGTTTTGGCATGACACATCTGGCCCATGGGCCGGCAGTCTGAGATGCCTGATCTAACACAACACGAGTCTCGGGGGTTTTGGAAAATGGGGGAAAGTGAAGCTGAAAGTCTTGGAAGTCTTTTGGGATGGTAGCTCTGCTCTCATAAACCCAAGTTAGCACCTCTGTTTCAAATTTTCTCAAGAATTGTGAAGCTCAGGGATTGGAATTTGTAATCTCCTGTGTGGCTATAGAAAACAAATTCAGTTCCATGGATCAAGGAGTTGAATGCCATCCAGACAATAAGTGCATTACAGATACTGCTTATAAAAAATGAATCAAGTCTTTTATAAAGGCAGTTACCTTTCCACAAGGCAGTACAAGGGCTGTATGTGAGGTTATGAAAACATTTGCAATGGATCTGTCAGTCCAAAACAAGTAAACAGATATAGAGCCTGACACGAATAAAAATAATCCAGTACAGAGAGGATGCTGTTTTATGTCTTCCAGGCAGTAATACTTCTTTGAAGAGTTAACAATTCTGTAGATGGATTTCAAGATCAGTTTATATCAATGTTATTCAGCCTTGACAACTTCAAGATATGTGGATTTCAATTCTCATAATTTCCTAGCCAGCAAGCCGACTGGGGAATTCTGAGAATTAAAGTCCATATATTATAAAATTGCTAAGGTTGAGAAGCAGTAGCTTTGGCTTGCTTTGTTTATAGGTAGTAGAAATTAGCGTAATTAAGTATGTAACTTTGGACATCAGAAAATTGGCTTGAATAAATCAGAAAAAAAGGCTAGATAGAGTTCAGTAGCTGGATATATTCACAGGCAAAGAAGCCTTAAGATAGATTAGACTTCCTGAGAAGCAACTTCTCCAAGCAAGGTCACTGATAAACAACTGCAGTAGGAGGAATAATTACACAAAAATGTTTTGTGGGCTCCAGAATTGTTTAAATAACATGTTTAAGAAATGGGAAGGTGAATATGGACAATTGGTTCACACCTACAGAGACAGTAGGAAAGAAAGTTAAAAACAAGGCAGGACTGGGAAACAGTCTGAAGCACAACCCCCCAAAAGTATCCGAATATTTGAAGAAAGAAATGGAATTGATAGGTCATCCACTCAATGAGGATGGTTTAAATGTTAAAAAATAAAATGGAAAAGGTAAAGCTGATTCTTCTTATGACAAAAGGAAAATTATATTCATTAATAAGTCCTATGGCTGGGTTGAGATGAGGGCTGTGGTTCAAAAATAATAAGGTGTTTATCAGGAATTTAAGACTTCCACGTCAGACAGTTGCTTCTCAGGTTATTAAAGGAACTTACTAATGTGTTCTCAGAAAATCAGTCATTATTTCTGAGATCTTCTGAGGAATTGTTAAGATGCCACATAACTGGGAAGAAAGAGCAGTAAAGTATCTTAACAACAGAAAAAGAAAGATAGATAAAATATAAATCAGTCAAAGTATGGGAACTTACCAGAACAGATTAAAATAATGTAGAGGTTAGAAACAAGGAGAGTAGTCCTGCCTTAGACATAAATTCTTTTGTTTCCCTGTCTTATTTCCTGAGCTAAGACACAAGAAAAATCTCTTTAAACTCTGCTCCCCATGATGGTTGCTGAACAGTAAGGGGATTTTTCTCTCTAGCCAACAATCTGCTGATTTTGCTACCTAAGCTGGCTGTCTGACAGTCCTGCTCCCTGGATTTGAATGGGAGCACTTAGGAATGACCCAAGATGAGTTTTGGACAGCCATGGACACATTTGGGAAGGGGAATCTTGAAGATTCCAGTTCCTTTGGAAGCAGTCAGAAAGTCATGGACATCTATCTTCCTGTTGGCATTTCAGATTTTTTAAAGCATGCCTGTTTTTTTTTTTTAATTTTTACTTTTATAGCTTTAAAAGTAGACTGGCTGGCTGAAAGCTGGTTTATTTCAACCCCCTACTGGACTTTAGATGTTCTCTTTTTTTCTTTTTCTCTTTGATTTATAACAGTGGTTCTCAACCTTTTTAATACCGCGACCCCCAATCGGTCGTAAGTCGAGGACTACTCAACCGGTCATAACTCGAGGACTACTCAACTGGTGCAGCACTGTTTGCAGAATGGGACTTTTGGCGGGCTCAGCGGGGCAGAGACAGCCTGGACAATTCCTATTGGCTTTTGAAAGCCAATAGAATTAGACTCTATTCAAGAGAGTCTATTCTACTGGCTTTCAAAAGCCAATAGAATAAAAGGGAGTAGCACAGCTAAGGAAAAGGGGGAAAAGGCGGATTGCGTTGTTTGGCGACCCCCATGAAATGGTCGTTCGACCCCAAATGGGGTCCCGACCCACAGGTTGAGAACCACTGGTTTATAATGTTCATTTTCTGTATGGAAACACTGCATGCGTGTGAATGGTAAAGTGCTTTCATTTGATTTACATTAATATTAGACTCTCACCTCAGGGTTTTTGCATCTTTTTAATTTGCAAAATATTTGGAGTTTATTTCTTTTTAATTTTTCTTTTAATTTCTGAAATATCCAGAAAATACCTTTCCGGTTTCCTTCTGCTTCAGCTTCCTTGTTCCCTGGATGAGCTTCATAGAGCAATAATGTTTCAGAGTGCAGACATGCAGTGGCTGAAATCTGAGGAAAGATCTTTTGGCAGCATGCAGCTTTTAGTTGAAAGCTTTTTAAAAAAAGTTTGATGAGATGATAATGATCATGGAAAATACTCGGAGGTATGTAGCTTTGGAGGAATCTGATTTGAAAGCTGTAGATCAAAGAGATATCAATTCTACAGATGGGGAATTGAGTTGATTCTGTACATCTTTTGTGAAGTTCAAATCTGCATTTGTTTACAGTAGCAGAAGTCTTACATGGAGAGGTGACAAACTGGTTTTTCTTAGGAGGATGGAGGAGATTCGGGAGTGGATTTATTACTTTTAATTGCAAACCACTTTTATCTGGACTTTGTTGTGGAGATTGAGTGGATTATATTTAATTAGGCAACAACTGGTAAGAAAAAAGAAGAAACAAATGTGGATATTTTGATCCAGGATGAATTATTCTTAACTTTTGGGAAGATTTGGGATAGATAAGATGCTGTGGTAAATGTTCTACAAGTTGATTACAATAACATTTTGTCAATAGTTTTGAAACACTAATCTTGTCCTTTTCGTTATTATTGTTCTCCCTGTTAACTATTTTGTCTTTAATATAGTATATAAATGACAGGTCAATAGTTTGCAAATAGATTTATTAGTTTTTAAAAATTGGGGAGACCTGTTTCGCAAGGGGTGGGATCTAATATTGTAGCAATGTATTAATCAGTATTCAAGCAGGGGGGTTATATGTGTATATGTGTTGGGGTTTTTTTTCTTTTCTTTTTTAATGTATTGTATGGATTGTCTTTGTTTTTAATTTTTTTTAAAATTTAAATTGTTTTGAATTTTAAATTTTTTTGAATAAAATAAAAATTGCTAAGAAGAAAAATCTAAACTCTTCCCCTTTATTTTCAACAGTACAGGCTCTATCCACCTCGAACCACGATGCCCACAAATAATCCTTTCACCTTAACCACTTCCTTCTAAACATGAACCAAGCTTACACAGGTTAATTAAAATTATGGTAGCCGCTGAAATGCAAATAATTATGTGGCAATCTATATTTGTCACAGTGCCAGGGAGAATTTGAAGGATCAAACAGGGTATATCTTGGCAATTAAGAGCTGGCATCAAAATCTTCTGTCGTGTAGAGATGGCCTGAATATTTGCAGTGCAGCTACGGCAGTGTTTCCCAACCTGGACAACTTTGAAATGTGTGGACTACAACTAGAATTCCCTAGCTGAAGTCTAGACATTTCAAAGTTGTCTAGGTTGAGAGACACTGCTGTAACTGCAGTGCAAAAATTCAGGTCATCTCCACATGACAAAAGATTTTGATGGCAGCTCTTAATTGCTAAGAATACTGGGAATTGAAGTCCACACATCTCAGAGTTGTCCAGGTTGGGAAATACTGAGTCACAGCATAGCAGCACTGTATAGGAAGAACTGTTAGGCTTATAACAACCAACAAATGGCATATTGCTCTTCAATATCTTCTTAGAAGGACTAATCCAGTTCATAGATCTTGGAACAATGGGAACTCAAGGGCTACTTGGGAAAAGAGGGTGGGGAATGTCAACAGTCACTTTCTGAATCTCATATAAACACAGGAGTCAGGAGCTTTCCATATCATTCTTCAATAAATACACAACTACTTTGAATTGCCTATATTTAGCTTTGGTTGAAGGCTATCAACCACCTTACAAAAAGCAGGAAGCAACATAATATTGGGAAGTGTCTCAGGCAAACACTTCCTTGATTTACTGGCATATAAGAAGGAAGGAGGTTGATGCACAATCAGAGTTGCAAAATTCTGTTATTATTGCCTATTTCAATAAAGTACAGTTTTTGTCTTCCTGTGGAGTTAATTTTCTGGTTTGGTCTACCAAGTGGGCTAACATACAAGCAGACAACACAACCACGTGATATGAGCATGTCAAGAAGAACTCCATCAGAATGCCAGGATGAGAAATGGATTTCCTTCGGTGGGTCCATTACTTTGTTAATATGGACAATCCATCCTATCAAAAGTATCCATCCTTCTTAAGACAGCAAAACATTTTGAACTTCCTTTAATAGAAGGGTTGAGCAGAATCGGGGTGGTGGTGGTGGTGAAGGAGCCAGATAAAAGAGTTTTTAAAAATGCTTTTGACAGGGCTGGATAAATCATGGAGAATAAGATGAGCTGAAGGTGAGTCTGACGTGCAAATATACTATACTTGTTGCTTTTCAGTATGTGACCCATCAGTTGCAGCACTCATTTTTCGGCATTGAATCATGGACACTGAAACTGTGCCCTCACAGGAAGCTTCCCTGACTGTTAATGAACAGGTATGTTTCTCTCAGATCTCCCAGGGATGTAGAAAAGGAGGAAAGAACTGTGGCAAGGCAGGGTACGAAGTGAAGGCACTGATTTGGTTCAGTGTGGCCGTAGTGAGAGATCTCCACATGTTATTTGGAGAGATTGTGGGTATGCAAGAGGAAATGAACTTTAGCCATGTGCTGGATTTGTGGTTGCTGAAAGATTTTTATGGGTCCTATGTAGAAAAAGTCATCTTTCTTTTTTTCTTTCTCCTTCCTTCCTTCCTTCCTTCCTTCCTTCCTTCCTTCCTTCCTTCCTTCCTTCCTTCCTTCCTTCCTTCCAAATTTATATAGCCACCCTCTCATGGAGTGTGACTCTGGGCAGTGTACAGCAGTCCAATAATATAGTAGATATATAAAAAACAATACCTAAAATTATTATATAATAATTATTTTTGAAAGCATTAAAAACCAGGAAGACAAAAGTAATACAGAGGAAAAAAAGTAATAGATGGAGGTGTGTTAATAATAATGGAACCACCTCATTTTACCCACCTTATATCAGTCTGACAGCTCATCACTGTCAACAAAGATCTGCAGCAGTTCTCCTGGCTTCCAGGCAGAAAGTTTTCTGGATCTCTCTGAGACTTTCGGTCTGCATAGTCAGGGTCATTTGTTGCCCCTGGGCAATGGCTTCCCTGTTTTAAGAACCCATTGCATATCTCCCCAGTTGCTCCTCATTGCCTATTGCATTGATGGAGCCCTGATGTCCTCATGTGTTTCGTTATCTTTTCTCAGGTGATTGTGATGTCAGGACATGAGACAATTAGGGTGCTGGAAGTGGGAGTAGATGCTCCAGTCTCAATAAAAAATGAAGGGAAAACACTGAAAGCAACAGATGCAGCAGCTGGAGGAGAGGATTCTGCAAACTGCCCTCCAGAATCAAGTAAAACAGGACAGGAAAGGGCACAAGAAAGCCCAGAGAAGGCATGCAGAGAGTCAAGCGGTAAGTGGCACTTTACATGTTTCCATTTATTCGGTCACAAAGCTTAGCAGGGGTCATTTATGGATATCTGTATTCAGGGGGGGGGGGGAAAACCTCCTTCGGTTGCTAAAATGATGTGTTGGAATTGGAGAATCTGTAGACCTCAAAAACACAAAAGCCGAACCATGGAGGTCTCCTTAAGTCCCATTTCCACCTGCTGTAATTTCCTGTTCTATTCTTCTCCGATAGCCAAGGAACGCTTCCATACAAAAGGCTCTAGAGCTGGCCATCAGCAAACATTCTGCAGCTCTTCCTTTGCAATAAGACAAAAAATGGAAGAAGTCATGAGAAAGGGCAGAAAGACTATAAATGTAAGACATCGGGATATCTTCTTCCGCAACCCTAAATTATATGATTTGAGGCAGGGAGATTACAGAATAAAAACTTTCTCTGGAACAGTCCAGAGATTCATCATGAGAGGCAGGAAAAAAAAAACCACAAGATAAGATGAATAGAGAATGGTATACCTAAAGCAGGGTTCTTCAAACTTGGCCCTTTTGTAACTTGTAGACTTCAACTCCCAGAATTCCTTAGCCAGCAAAGCTTCTGGGAGTTGAAGTCCACAAGTCATAAAAGGGCCAAGTCTGAAGACCCCTGACCTAAAGCCTGTTGTCCATTTCTGGGCATTTGCACATATGAAGTGTGCAGAAAATAGAAACGGATGGAGCCAGATAGCTGCAGTTTTGGACAGTCCAAATTTCAGAGCTCAAATAACAATTTATAGGCAGTGGACCGAGCAACGACAGAGCAGAGAAGTTAAGGAAATGACAGGTGGGCAAACAAAGAAGAGAGCTGGTTGGCAGTGAGGCAGGACCAGTCGAGTGACATTTTTGGCAACAAGGAAGTTACCGAGATTAGAAAATGGTAGTGGAGGATGAAGTATTTATCTCATGACGTGATTTCTTGACTACAAATATTCTATTCAAAGTGTTCAGTTACTGCCCTGAATTCTGATTTCTGTTTCTGAAATCAGATGGATACGAGATGGAGGGTCAAGTTCCTGGGCATTGGGCTTGGGTGCAGTGTCAGGATCTGTGGCTCTCACAAGTGTTACGTTCCTTAAACTCCTGCTGGCCTTAAGAAGAATCCCCTTGCAAATTCTGGGATCCACTTTTGTGTGTAAACATTGCAGGTTCTTAAAGACCATTTAACACTCTCTGAAGGAGAAACAGCATCAGATTTATTTTAAGCCATCAGTTCAGAACTCATTCGATTTGCAGTGGAAAAAAAAATCATGAACATCACAAATAATTGTGAGAAGTTTGAGTGCTAAAATTAGGGGTTTCTTTTCTTTTTAACACAGTGGTTCTCAACCTTTTTAATGTCGCAACCCCCCCCCAAATGGTCGTAAGTCAAAGACTATTCAACTGGTCGTAAGTCGAGGACTACTGAACTGGTGCAGCACCGTTTGCAGAATGGGACTTTTGGCGGGCTCAGCAGGGCAGAGACAGCCTGGACAATTCCTATTGGCTTTTGAAAGCCAATAGAATTAGACTCTATTCAGGGGAAAAAAATGGTGGACTGCATTGTTTGGCGACCCCCGTGAAATGGTCGTTCGACCCCAAATGGGCTCCCAACCCACAGGCTGAGAACCACTGTTTTAACAGGTAAAACTTTTTTCCAGAGGAAAATCAAGATAGGAAGTAGGGAACGGGCTGATGTAATTTTATTTGTGGAGGCCTTGACACTCTCAGAGCCTGATTGGTTGCTTGCTTGCAGACATTTTGTTATCCAATTAGGTAACATCATCAGTGCCTCCATTATGCATGCTTTCCAAAATGTTTGGTGCCCGCATGTGGTTCCAGTTGAAGAGAATGTCTGTAGGTCAGAGTTGAACTTTGAAATTTTTTGTGCTCTCTGAACTTGGTTGCTGGCTTGCAAATGATCAGTAAATCACGATACCTACAGAAAACAAGATATTCACTTCTATTGGTCACGTAGTCCTTTTCCTGTCTGTCACTTTCCTTTTTCAAGTAGTTCTTGTAGTAAGAATTTCCTTCTCGAAGGATCATGTCACACCATGTTTGCTAGTTATATATATCTTGCACATGTATATACATCGTGCTGCTTCCTTTTGGAGTATGCAAGGCTATAAAAAAGCACAGAAAACAAGTAACGAAGAAGAAGAAGAAAAAAGAGTGGTGTGGTGGCCTAGAGATGAAGGCACTTGCCTCACAGGAGGTTGAGAGTTCAATCCTAGGCAGCAACAGATGTTTCTCTACCAGGTTGCAAACAGAAAATATTTGTTGCGAATTCCGCAGAGGTGTCAGGAAGGGCATCCGATCAGTAAGTGCTCAGGTCCTTTCAGTCACCCTGACTCCACCCCAATAAAAGGAGTTACAGGATCGTGAAAAGGAAAGAAAAAAGAAATTAAAGGTATCAGATTAGAAAATAAAATCCAAATCAGTCTAGTTCACAGCTATACCATTATAATTTCCAGACCTTTCCATGAAACAATGTTGAACTGTTTATTAAGCCTTCTCTCTATACTTATCTATTTCCATTATTTTACTCATTGACCCTTTATTCACTTCATATTCATATAAAACATATTTCAAGCCTACCCACTTAGTTATACGTGTTATCTAAAAACAAATGCACAGTAAACTTTCATTCATATTATTTCTTCAAAACCTGCTGAACAGCAAAATTGATTTATTGACCCATACAAACACTCATGCATGCAATTTAAAGACTGCCAAACTCCCAACAACTCTGACCAACATACAATTAATTTTTTTTAAATACAGAACCCAAGAAGGAATCATGAACAGCCCCAAAGTAACATAATAATAAAACATTGAAAATAAACGTAAAAGAGCAATTAAAAAAAAACATCCAGCAGGTGTTCAACCATAATTCTGCCCTAAAGCCTGGGAAAATAATCAGGACTTCAATAGTTTCCTAAGCATCATTAGGGTGGATAAATCAAAATGGTTGCATAATGCATGTAATTAGAGAAAGAAAGGTTTATCAGTCATAGTAGCATTCTTTATTAATAGTGGCATTTTGGGCACATTTTGGCCAGCATGCCATAACAGTAACCAAAGCCCAGCTTTGCCTAAATCATGCTCATTCTTTCCTAAATAAGCATTATATGGATCTCTAATCTAGATACTACTTGCCAGCAGACAATACAGTAACAGTAACAGAGTTGGAATATATCCTGGAGGTCATCTAATCCAACCCCCTGCTTACTATACTAATACTAATACCTATCCAGTCTCTTCTTAAAAGTTTCCAGAGATGGGGCACACACAACTTCTGAAGGCAATTTGTTCACTGGTTAATTGTTCTCACTGTTGGGAATTTTCTCCTTAATTCTAGGTTGCTTCTCTCCTTGGTTAGTTTCCATCCATTTTGTCTTGTCCTGCCTTCAGGTGCTTTGGTTGGCCCCCTCTTCCTTATGGCAGCCCTTCAAGTATTGGAAGACTTCAAGTATTGGAAGATATAGACTGTTGTCTATATCCCACCAGTTTAAGATATATGCAGTCTATTGACCCATGTTCAGGATATCCTCTTCAGTCAATGAAAGTAACTTGGTTTAATATACAATATCCATTTGTCAAGGTTGAATTGCTAAGATGCTTGCTAACCTCTATAGCTGCTCAACTTGCCATAGAAACGGGGAGGGGGAGTCTGGGAAAGAAACGGGAGTTTCAGGAAGCCGTCCATAGACCGTGAGAACCAAGGTCATACATAGAGGTGTCTGGCAGAGAAGTGGACCATTGCAATAACGAACATGAACACATGGTGGGTGGGGGTTATGAAAAGCTATTGGTAACTAACCAGAACTTCGCACAGGAAACTTAGAATTGATTTTACTTCTTTAGTGCCGGGATGTGTATTCAATAAAAAATTATCATTTGGCCATAGAGTTTCTTTAATGTTGAATTCGCCAGCCGGAAAGTTGACACCAGGATGATAGTTGAAGAGGTTAACAAAATAATATATTTCCTCTTTTTTAAGGTGAAGTCAAGGCACTGCCTGAAGTAACACCTGTGCCTATCCCAGGAATTGTGCCATTTAGCCAAGTGACAAGCCAACCAACACCAACTTTAACTCCTGTCACAGTGCAAGCAGCACCACAGGTAACTACCCTATCATTCTAGTTTTCATAAACAGGAGGGAACCTCTTGGTCAATGAACAATTTCAATTTCTCTAGTGGAATCAGGAGTTCCCAGTGCCCTGTGGAGGAGATGAATATGGGCAGGATACTTAGGCAGAAGAAGAATCTTTATTAAAAGTCCACAGCAACATTCCCAGAATGTTATGGAACTTAGAGGTTCTCAGATTTAAGATACTTTTTGATGTTATAGATCAGGGGTCTCCAGCCTTAGCAAGTCTAAGATTTGTAGACTTCAACTCCTAGAATATCTCATCCAGACATGCTGGCTGAGTAATTCTGGGAGTTGAAGTCCAGAAATCTTAAAGTTGCCAAGATTGGAGGGCCCGTTATAGTTAGCTTTGGTGCTCTGAAATGTGCTCTCGTTTTTTTGTTTTTTTTTTTAAAGGATGCAGTTGACAAAGCTTTGTAGAAATTAAATGCACTCTTCCAGTGTTTTCTTGGCAGGCATTTGAGTGGCTTTTTATAGATTGTTGCAAGATACACAAATGCCACTTGACATATGATTAATCCCTTACATTAGAGCCCCACCCCAAAAAACTAAGAAATTAAAGAAAGACTTACCTTGTTTATCTTCTATTCAGCCTGCCTACTTTTTATTCCATACAAGCTGTTATATAGCAACAGTTGTTTAAGACAATTAGTGTAAATTGCCTCACAGTTTAGAAATAAGAGAACTGCCTTAGTTCAGTGACATAAAAAAAAACACAAGAGGAAAATATCTAAATGTGCTGTAGACTATTAGTTTCATTCTCAAAAATAACACATTTAAGAGTGTCAAATTCATGAGATAATGCCCCTTTTTAGTTCTTCGAATGGGGTGTAGAACTTCTTCACTTATTTTGTGATTCTCCAGGAGAACAAAATTATCCCAGAAAAGGACTGAAAGATTGAACATATTGAGACACATGGAGAATAAAACTGGTTTTCTACAGTATCTTTTGATTTTTTTTCTCTCTCTCTCTGCTGTCCTGCATCTTATCCTTCTTAACACGTGAAGAACAAGGCAGATCTTTGCTGTTGGGGGTTTTGATACTATTTGTACGGCTCTGGAACTTAAAGGAACAGATGAAATGCCTTTGAGTTCTGATTCATTTAATTGTGATGCAAGCACTATTATTTCAACACCTTCATACAAAGTAATCCTTTTCCCTACTATGGAAAATATCACCTATTTAGAAAATACTGTAATGCATAGGATGTCAACAGTTTTCATTCTCAAATAAGCTTATCAAGCTTTGCTCTGAAACAGCAGATTGGAACACATCCTAGAACATTTGGCCTTCGAGAAATTGCTGAACAACAACATGCAGCCTTTCTTATCATTAGCCAGGGCTGCTGGGAATTTGTAGTTCAGCTACGAAGGAAAGGAAGGAAGGAGGAAGGAAGGAAGGAAGGAAGGGAGGAAGGAAGGAAGGCTATTGGTGAGGAAAGCTGTAGCTTTTATCATGAAATGATTTCCCAGCAGGAAGATCTGCTGCCCATCTTTATGGGAAACAAAGCCAGTACTGTTTGCAGCATGTATTTTAGGTAGCTTGTGAATATTGCAAGAAAATTATTTCCTCCACCCTCTCAGTCTACACTGACCTGTGGGATGGCCGTGCACCCCAGGATGCAGTACAGTAGTACCAGTTTTCTGAAGGGAATATCCCTGGCTAAAACTGGCCTGATACTAGTAAACTAAAATAACTGGAATTTACTGTGCTGTGAATTTTGAGCCAAAAAGGGGTTGGTGAACAGACAGCAGAGACTAATCGATCAGGGCTGGGCATTAAAAAAAAGGGGGAGGGGACGTCCCCAGCTTCTTTCATGGTTGACTTTGAACCAGGCCCCCCATTGGAAGGTTACAGAGCTGGATTACCCAGCTGCTGGCCAGGGGGCACCCAGCCGCACCCGGCACATCTCAGTCAGGCACCTCCTGACTGGGCTGGGCCTCCGGTGGGCTGGCTGACGTGACTGCTGCGCTGATGCTGTCTGCAGTGGCGTTGATTTTGTTTTCCCTTTTCTTTTTTACATCTCGTTTGCTTTTGCAGGTCTTGACTCAGGAAAACTTAGCAACAGTTGTGACAGGCGTAATGGTTCCGGCAGGGGCAGTTACTCAACCTCTTCTTATCCCCATCAGTATTGCAGGTCAAGTGGCAAGTCAGCAGGGGCTGGCTGTGTGGACATTTCCTGCAGCAACGGTGGCTGCCCTCCCAGGACTGACGGCTGCCTCTCCTACTGGGGGAATTTTCAAATCACCTATAGCCAATTTGCAAGGTAACCACCATGTCTTGGAAGATAGCATAGGGGGAGCAAGAGTCCGCCACTTGGGCCTAACCAGGATCAGCCTTAATCTGGGAGGGAGTATGTCGGGAGACTGATAACCTTTTTGAACTTCGGGAAGGGAGGAAGGGCTAGCTCTTTGGCTCTATGTCAAAGGCCAAGGTTCTAGTCCAGAGGTAGGCGGCTCTTTTATGACTCGTGGACTTCAACTCCCAGAATTCCTGAGCCAGCCATGCTGAGGGGAAAGGGAGAGGTTTCCAAGCTGAGCCATGCTGGCTCAGGAATTCTGGGAGTCATAAAAGAGCCAAGGTTGCCTATCCCTGAACCAGTCCAAACCTGTATGCATCCTGCAAACAGACTCTCCCATTAACTTGAGCGCAGGAACCAGATCCATGGATGGGAAGAATCTGCTTCCTCCTCTGAAATCAATGGGGACACCTTTCTGAGTTTCATGCATGCATCAAAACCCCCAGCCCCCAGGACGTTCCCTTGCATAACCAGTGGTTTCTTGGATAAATAATGTCTTTAAATTCCTAGTCCACATGACAGGAGAAAAACACTGTGCGGTTTGGTTTCAGTGGCCTGTTATTTAAAGGAAACCGTGGTTCCAGTCAGTAATCCTTGCAAATAACTTTCGTTTTCTGAAGACTGTTAGGACAGCGATGCTTAATTAAAAATGGAGAGCTAGGATTAATTCCCCAGGCACTACTTCTTGCTAGCAGTTAATTCGCACAAGGAGCCAGTGATGCAAAGTATCCAGGTAGCTGTGGTTACTCTGAGTTGCAGCAGCTGCTCCAGCAATGATGGAGCCCAGCCCACCAAGCTGTTGGTTACTTGTTTAGGCGTCCCCTGGTTTCATCTTGCATTAGAGAGAGAATTTCTAGCACTAGCAGAGACAATTCCATGGAACTCAAAACCTTCCCTGTCCGTTTCAATATAATTGCTTTGTGTGCGGCGTATCTTTTCACTCCAGCTGGTACAATGATTCCTCTGAATATGAAATACCGGTCGTCCTTGACTTACAAAAGTTCATTTAGTGACTGTTCAAACTAACATCGCTGAAAAAAGTGATGCACGACCGTTTTTCATACTTACCAACCATCGCAGCAAGCCCATGATCCCAAAGATCAAAATTTAACTGCTTGGCAACTGACTCCTATTTATGATGGTTGCGATGTCTAGGGGGGTCATGAGATCCCCTTTTGTGACCACCTGACAAGCACAGTCAATGGGGAAACCAGTTTCACTTAGCAACTGGGTTACTAATTTACCAACTGCAGTGATTCGCTTAACAGCTGTGGCAAGGAAAGCTGTAAAATGGGGCAAAACTCACTTAACAAATGTTTCACTTAGCAACAGAAATCCTGGGCTCAATTGTGGTCGTACGTTGAGGACTACCTGTATCTGCTACCCCATTTTATCTTTAAGGTTTTATTCTTGGCTAATTAGATCCCGTACATGCGGAAAAGTCATCCTTCCCATGGCTTTCCCATGGATCCAACCTAGAAGCCATATGACAAACTTGGAGACTGACCCTCCCCTTCAAAAAGTATATTTTGCGATGACCCAATATTTAGCGCATCTCTTTTTGACTTGCTCTCGCAGCCACTGCAGTGCTGAACACAGCCGTACAAGCCCCTTTGCAGCCAGCCCAAGCTTTCCAGGCACAGCCAACGGCCCAGCCCCGGCCGTCCATCCCAACACAGACTGTGTTCCAGCCACCAGCTCAGACAACCCTTTTGTCACAGCCGACCACAACAGCCACTCCACCTGCCGCCAAGCCACTGGAAACGCCGGCACAGATCACAGTTCAACCGGCAGGATTTGCAGGAATAGTAAGACACTGGGGGGGGGGGGAACCCTTCCCTTGAAGAAGACTTTCTGAGCTACATTGAAAGAAGGGTTGGGAACAGAGAAATCTTCTATAAATACATTTCTGAACCCAGCTAAAGGTCTTCCGCATCGCTTTGGTCCTTTCTGAGTTTGCCAAAGGAGAAAATTTCACGTAGCCTGAAAGGTTTTTGTTTTTTTTTCACGAGGCAACTGGACTTTCTTTTTTCTCTTTGAAGACATTTCACTTCTCATGAAATGACCAGCTGTCTGCAAGGAATATAAATCCTCCTATTCCCCCACCATCCAGTCAGAGCGGAAGAAGCTTCTTGGATGAGAAGCAAAATGTCTTCAAAGAGAAAAAGGAGAAACTCCAGTTGCCTCATGAAAAAGCTCCTTTGGGACAACCATGACCTGGAGGACTGAGAATCTACATAGACAAAATCTCATGTACATTTCAATGATGAATTCAGTACTGAATAACTTCAATAAATCTAGTAAATGTAAATCTCTGCATTGATAATGACAAATCTATTTCTTTGGTACATAAAAAAATAATTTCAAAGTCCCTGATATAAAATCTGAATCACAATCTGTATTCAGTCTTCATTTCAAATGAGAGAAACACTATTAACTTGAACACATATTTGAAAGAGAGCCAGGATGGTATAATGTAGGGGTTAAAATGCTAGACTAGTTCTAGTCCAGGTTCCCAAGCCCAAGGTTCTAGTCCTCCCTTCAGTATAGAGGTCAGCTGGGTGACCTTCTCAGCTCTAACCCACATTAGGCTCTACCGCATGCTGGCTAAAAAACAAAAACTCTCGTTACTTTGTTCATTGATAGCTTTGCTGTGTCGACTGCTGAGTGCAGTTGCAAAACAAGCAGATGCTGCAACAAGAGAAATGCTAAAAATAAGAAAAACGAGAATTCAGCAGCTCTTTTCTTATTGAAGAAAGCATTGCAGCAACAGATCACACATTAGCCATATTTGAAGATTGGTGCCAAAAATGGGCAATCATTACCCACGTATTAATTTAGAATAAGGTAGTCAGACTGCATCTTTTCAAAGGTAATTTTATTATTTAGATAACGGAACAGTGCAAACTGGACCTCCTAAGGCAGTGGTTCTCAACCTGTGGGTCGGGACCCCATTTGGGGTTGAACAACCATTTCACGGGGGTCGCCAAACAATGCAGTCCGCCATTTTTTCCCCCTTTTCCTTAGCTGTGCTACTCCCTTTTATTCTATTGGCTTTTGAAAGCCAATAGAATAGACTCTCTTGAATAGAGTCTAATTCTATTGGCTTTCAAAAGCCAATAGGAATTGTCCAGGCTGTCTCTGCCCTGCTGAGCCCGCCAAAAGTCCCATTCTGCAAACGGTGCTGCACCAGTTGAGTAGTCCTTGACTTACGACCGGTTGAGTAGTCCTCGACTTACGACCGGTTGGGGGTCACGGCATTAAAAAGGTTGAGAACCACTGTCCTAAGGAGTGATCGCTTCATCTCCACAGAGCATGGAGTGACACACACACACACACATTTCTGCCTGGTGGAATAAAGTATAGAAGCCATTGAGGCAAAGATCTCACTTTGCATGAAACATTGAACCTCTTAACCTTTGACCTTTGTTTTTATTTATTGTCCTGTTTTGGTGTCTCTTGCAGATCAATGCAGCTTCTCTTGGAGCCCCAACCCAGCTGCTTAGCTCACTAGCCGCCACATCTGTCATTACAAACACCATTCCTACTGTGCAAGGAATAACTGGACAAATCTTGACTAATGCTCAAGGACAAGTAAGTGCTGCACCATTCCAGAAACAGAATTAATGTATTAGCAGGCCGTGCTTAAAGGACACCAGAATTGTTTTTTTTTTTTTAGTTGCCAAACAAAACATCTATGCAATTTATTCATTCGTGTTATGTATCCTGCCTTTCCTCCAAAGTTTAAGGCACCCTAGAAAGCATGTTCTCCTGTTTTGATATAGATTAGACGTAGAGATAATTATTAAGCCAAAACCATTCAGTGAATTTTCATAGTCATGAATGGACTCAAATGGGACTCTGCCTGATCTCAGTCCTTTAGCCTAAACTTTATACTATCTTGGCTCAGCTACAGAAATCTTAATGGGAAAACTAAACCAGCATGGTTTTGATAGGAAAATGTCAGAATATTAACACACCGCAACCTTGGTGCTTCCCTTGCCTTTGTCCTCCAGGTTATTGGAACTGTTCCATGGGTAGTGAACCCAACTGGAATTGCCACTGCAGCTCCTGCCCCTGCCACATTGCCAGCACAAAATCTACAAGTACAGGCAGTGACACCGCAGCTGCTTTTAAATGCCCAAGGTCAGATCATTGCCACCTTGGCTAGCACCATCCAGACAGCAGCCATGGTTAGGAAATCAAGCCCCCCGGAATCTCCTGCCAAGAGCGAGGTGAGTCCAACTAGCAAAGCTGCTGAGAAAAATCACCAGGGGATCTTGCAGCAAAATTACCGAGATGCCCAAAGAGGCACCTACAGAGAAAGGAAAGTGGAACATGTTGGATTAAATAGAAATGGGGAGCCTACTGCTTTTGATAGATTGTTGAACTAGAAAAGTCATGAAAGAGCTCCAGGTTATTTATTTAACAGAACAACAGACGTGGAAGGGACCTTGGAGGTCTTCTAGTCCAATCCCCTGGTTCAAGCAGGAAACCTTATACCATTTCAAATGGTTGTCCAACCTCTTCTTAAAAACTTCCAGTGTTGGAACATTCACAACTTCTAGAAGCAAGCCATTCTATTGATTAATTGTTCTAACTGTCAGGAAATTTCTCCTTAGTTCTAGGTTGCTCCTCTCCTTGATTAGTTTCCACCCGTTGCTTCTTGTCCTGCCTTCAGGCGCTTTGGAGAATAGCTTGAATCCCTCTTCTTTGTGGCAGCCCCCGAGATATTGGAACACTGCTATCATGTCCCGCCTCGTCCTTCTCTTCATTAAACTAGACATACCCAATTCCTTCAACCATTCTTCATATGGTTTAGACTAATAATCCAGTTTGTCAATCACATTTATACAGCCGCCCATCTGACAAAAAGCTACTCTGGGTGGCATACATCAATAAGAATAACAATAATATAAATACAATTATTATAAAAAATATAAAACAATCATTATGGAAAATTAAAACATATTAAAATGTAAGACACTTTATTATTTTTACTGCTCTGGAAGAGGAGGCAGACCAGTGGGATGTTGCATCTCACCTGTCAAATTAGCTAATCAAGCCAGAGGTATCACAAAATTGGCTGGAAGCAGGAATAGCATTTCCTGTTCTGCCTCAGGCTGCAAAACATCTTCCCTTGGCCCCTGACCCTTGATGACTTGATAGCTGAATGTGTAAAATAGCCACTTGTCAAGTGTTGCTTGAGGCATGAAATATATCTGTGTCTGGGTAATATAATGCGGGATTTATATGCTAGATATAGCAACGCTGGTGCTCAGGTTATCAACTAAGGCCCGTGTGGAGAGAGTCCTGATTGAAATAATACCATCCTGGATTGAGATGAAAACAGAAGCAGTGTTTTGAGAGCCAGCAGACCACTTCTAAAATGTCCTCCCTCCAATCCATTTTCCTTTCTAGCACCAAGCTCCGGAAAACCTGATCCTATTCCTTTTGTAGCTGAAGTTTGTGATGCCTAGCATAGACTAGCTGATACCTATGGACCAGTGTTTCCCAAACTTGACAATTTTAAGGCATGAGGACTTCAACTCCCAGAATTCTGGGAGTTGAAGTCCACATGCCTTAAAATTGTCAAGTTTGGGAAACACTGCTATGGACCATTACTTTATAAGACCGACAGGAGTGCCCTGCAGCTGAGCTAGAATCTAATTGGCTGATCTGATGCTTGGTATTTCAGTTGGGAAATGAGAAGGCCGGGCGCTGACTCTTCAAGTAAGAGCTCTTGTAGCATGCACTTGAAAGTCAAGATATGCTAACTTTATTCAAACAGTATAAATCACACAAAATAAACAAAGGTAAATGTACAGTATTTCCTACCTGGTACAATTCTCATTGGCCAATGTGCCTTCTTTGACCCTGATTGCAACCGGCATCATGATTCATTAGGCCATTCTTCATTCATAGTCATTTTGTTCATTCATTCATTCATTCAGTTTATCTCAAACAGATATCTCTGGGCGGTTGCAAAACTCTCAAAAAAGCTACAAGCAATGCACAACTGAGCCTCAACATTTCTGTTGCTAAGTGAGGCAGTTTTTAAGTGAATTTTGCCCCATTTTACAACCTTTCTTGCCCCAGCTGTTAAGCGAATCACTGCAGTTGTTAAGTTAATAACTACGGTTGTAAAGTGAATCTAATTTCCCTATTGGCTTTGCTTGTCAGAAGTCGCAAAAGGTGATCACGTGATCCCAGGATACTCCAACTTTCGTAAATAGGAGTCAGTTGCCAAGCATCTTGAATTTTGACCACGTGACCCTGGGGATGCTGCAAGGGTCACGTGAAAAACAGACATAAGTCACTTTTTTTCAGTGCCGTTGTAATGTTGAATGGCCATTAAATGAGCTGTTGTAAGTCAAGGGCTACCTGTAAAAAAAATGGCAGCCAAGCTAAATCAGTAAAAGCAGTATTGAACGGTTTTGGTCTGAATATTGCTTTCTTCTGCTCCGTTGCCAGGTCCAGCCAATTCAGCCCGCCCCAGCTCTCTCACAGCCAACTGTGGTCATTGCAAGTCCTCCCCCAGCATCCAAACTAGCTTCCACTCCTGTCCCCATCATCTGCTCAGAGACACCAACTGTCAGCCAGCTGGTTTCAAGTAAGCATGTTGGTATCCCTGCGATCTTGTGGCAGGCAGAGAAAGAGGCTACCATTAATGGAGGCTGGTTCATGATCACGTACGTGGAACATTTATGGTAGAAAAACCATGAAGTGGGTTGCCCCATTTCTGTCTTAAAGGGGCATTGTTATACACCCTACAGCTGCTGAGAAAAAAGCTGCTGGTGGTGACATCTGCAAGTGTTAATCCAAACCAAAAAAAACACAACCACGTATAATATTACTTTTTTTATTGTGCCACTCTACTCCTAATAACGAACAGCACATATACAGAAAAACAGAGGACTAGAACAACACAACATTAATAAACAATATAGGTGGTAATGACGTTGACCAACAGAGTGAATTCCAAAATCTAACATCTTGCAGATTCTCTTTCCCAGAGCCAGGTTTTATTGCTATACCCATTATTTATAAAGGCAACCTGCTCCGTAGGATAGACACCTCTCAGCAGCTTTATTTACTATAGATCGTAAATAAAAAGTGGGCAAGAGCTGAGCCCTGCGACACCCTGTTACGGAGCGATTGTGGGCTCAACCTCTTCAACTGACTAGAACAGGGGTAGTCAACTTTGGCTCTTTTATGACTCGTGGACTTTAACTCCCAGAATTCCTGAGTCATAAAAGAGCCAAGGTTGCCTACCCCTGGACTAGAACCAACCACTCAGTCAGGAAAGAGAACCACCAGCACATAATCCAAGGAGACTAGGGTGTGACCTAAAGAGATTGATGGAAATGTCCCCCACTTTCAGATCACAACTCAACTGCTTTGAAATAAAATCCCAGTGGCATGAAAGATACATGTAGTTGCAGGAGAAAGGATTTATAGTGCAATTTAGTCAAAAAACTGCAAAATGAAATAATGGTGTCTTTTTCACTCTTTTTCCTACCAGAGCCTCAACCTTCAAATAGCGGAAGTGAGGAAGATGGCATAAACCTGGAGGAGATCAGAGAGTTTGCCAAGAACTTTAAGATTCGACGTCTCTCTCTGGGTCTCACCCAAACCCAGGTGGGGCAGGCATTAACTGCCACTGAAGGACCTGCGTACAGCCAATCTGCTATTTGCAGGTAAGCAAGTCTGTTTCCCTGTGCAGATGATTCTGGGTGGAATGCAGCCCTCAATAGAGTCTTCTTTTGAACCAACACTAGGCCTCCTCCTTCCCAGTTCTTTAAAGTAGCTCAGTACCATCAAAACAATAAGATGGGGCAATCGTATCTAGGCTGCAAAAATCCAGATATCCATTACATGGCAGCAAAAGAGATAGAAATAGCAATAGCACTTAGACTTAGACATATACCGCTTCACAGTGCTTTACAGCCCTCTCTAAGCGGTTTACAGAGTCAGCATATTGTCCCCCAACAATCCGGGCCCTCATTTTACTAAGGTCAGAAGGATGGAACGCTGAGTCAACCTTGAGCCGGTGAGGACCAACCTGCAGGCAGCCAGCAGTCAGCAGAAGTAGCCTGCAGTTCTGCATTCTAACCATTGTGCCACCATGGCTAAGAGTTGTTTGTGTCTCTTGATTATCATCTAGTGCAGTGGTTCTCAACCTTTTTAATGCCGCAACCCCTAACCGGTCGTAAGTCGAGGACTACTCAGCCAGTCGTAAGTCGAGAACTACTCAACTGGTGCAGCACCGTTTGCAGAATGGGACTTTTGGCGGGCTCAGCAGGGCAGAGACAGCCTGGACAATTCCTATTGGCTTTTGAAAGCCAATAGAATTAGACTGCATTCAAGAGAGTCTATTCTATTGGCTTTCAAAAGCCAATAGAATAAAAGGGAGTAGCACAGCTAAGGAAAAGGGGGAAAAAAATGGCAGACTGCGTTGTTTGGCGACCCCTGTGAAATGGTTGTTCGACCCCAAATGGGGTCCCGACCCAGAGGTTGAGAACCACTGATCTAGTGAGTATCTAAATGCAGCCCAAATGGAATAATGTAGCCCTAAATAGGTGTTAGATCCAACCCCTTAGATGAGACAGTGAGGTCCAGTTGAGTTCAATCCTTTATTTGCTTATACCTGATGTACAAAATCTTGTCAAACTAAAGCTATATCATTCTAACTACTAGATATTTCTTGCCAGATTGTAGATTGGATACACTGAACCTCTCCCCCCCTTCCCACATCCATCTGGGAACTGTGCAGTCTCTTACTCTGGGAAAGCTCTGCCAGATCTCTTCCCCCTCAGCTCCTCAAGGTGTACGCTCCTTCACAATAGGATTCCATATTGGTTTCTAATTCTGAATTAAGTGGAATTATTGTTACGATGGCAGTTACGAGGGCAATTCAGAAATAAACCTCAGTTTGAGTATCAATGACAGACCCTTGCAGATACAGAACTTTTGTTGTACGCATTAGAAAACTATAACATTACATTACTTTTCGACATAATCACCATTCAAACCGAGGCACTTGTCATAACATTTTACAAGGTTTGAAATTCCTTAGAAGTAGTTGCTCGGCACTAAATTTGGGCTATAGGGGGGTGATCAAAAACATCCCAACGAAACTGCTTCAAAAATTCTTGGGTGTGTCTAGCGGTGTGCAGGCGAGCATTATCGTGAACCAACACCACACTGGAAGTGGTGCCATAGAAAATCCGGCCAAATGTGAAGATGCCAAAGGAGTACTGCTAGTGAAGTTCATGGAGCGTGGTTCGACCATCAATTCAGAAGTCTATTGTGAAACGTTACGAAAACTCAGACGAGCCATCCATAAAAAGCGTTGAGGCATGCTGACTTCTGGTGTGGTGTTGGTTCACAATAATGCTCGCTCGCACACTGCTAGACGCACCCAAGAACTTTTGAAGCAGTTCCATTGCAATGTTTTTGATCAACCCGCTTATAGCCTAGAGCCGAGGTGGCGCAGCAGTTAGGGTGCAGTACTGCAGGCTACTTTAGCTGACTGTGTTCAGCAGGTCAGTGGTTCAAATCTCACCAGCTCAAGGTTGACTCAGCCTTCCATCCTTCCGGGGTAGGTAAAATGAGGACCCAGATTGTTGGGGGTAATGTAAATATATATATATATATATATACACATGGCTTACTGGTGTACACCGCTTAGAGAGTGCTCGCACTTAAAGCGGTATATAAGTCTCATAAATAAATAAATAAATTTGGCGCCGAGCGACTACTACTAAAGAATTTAAAACCCTGTAAGATGTTATGACAAGTGCCTCAATTTGAATGGTGATTATGTCGAAAAGTAATGTTGTAGTTTTCTAAAGTGTATAATAAAAGTTCTGCATCTGTGCGTGCCTGTTATTGATAACCAAAAGGAGGTTTATTTCCGAATTACCCTCGTATTTCTAAGAGACAATGTGGAACCCACTCATTTTGAGCTCTGCCCTGCCTTAAGCGACTAATGAATCAAACCTGAGCATCGAGGATATTTATTTCCTCAGGGTTGGGTAGCAAGCGGTAGGGACAAGAAGCCCACCCTGCATTCCTCAATGATTCCTGCTGATTTTGCAGATTCGAAAAGTTGGACATCACTCCCAAGAGTGCCCAGAAGCTGAAACCCGTCCTGGAGAAGTGGCTGAGTGAAGCTGAGCTTCGGAATCAGGAAGGCCAGCAGAACCTGATGGAGTTTGTGGGCGGGGAGCCTTCCAAGAAGCGGAAACGCCGCACCTCTTTCACCCCGCAGGCCATTGAGGCCCTCAACGCTTATTTTGAGAAAAACACCCTCCCCACTGGCCACGAAATCACCGAGATCGCCAAGGAGCTCAATTACGACCGGGAGGTAGTCCGGGTTTGGTTCTGCAACCGGCGACAAACACTCAAAAACACCAGCAAACTCAACGTCTTTCAGATCCCTTGAGGGCTGGAGCTCAAAGTGAGAATCTCCCTTTCCCTACCTGGCTGCTGTAAGCACTTTGTGGCTAAGTTTCCCCTGCCCCTGCCACCTGTTTATAGTGATGACTGAAGTGAAAGAGGGGAAGTCGGATCTCCTTGTGTTTTATTGTGCCCCGGCCTATTCAACAGCCGCTTCCTTCCTCCCGGAAGTTGCACTAAGCTGTGAAGACTTAGGAGTCCATTGGCGTTTAGCTTCCTTCTGTGTCAAGACAAATCATGGTCGGTTAAAGGGACAAGGTTCTCCTCGTCTAGTTTGTGTGCATTTTTCTTTTTCTTTTCGAAGGTGGCATTAGGATTGCCACCAGCATAGCACCAGGAACGATGGGAAAAAAAACCCGTCTTTTATTTGAGCCACTTTTCATAGCCACACCTATCGTTTCCCATCCAGGAAATCCTATCTTAAGCAGAACTGTGGCGTAATTTATATTTCCCTTTCCGTATGGATATGACTATGACGAGAGAGCACTATTTAAACCGAAGTTTTTTTTTCATCCACCAAGATCTTGAAGTTTAGTATCCTGGCTCCCTGTTGATTCTTTTATTTTAAGACTAATTTGCCAGCTAAAGTTTCCCTTCCAGAAGAATGCTGAGAAGAAAGAGGGAGGGATATTTTATGTCTTGGAAATCTCATGCCAGCAGAGCAGCACTAAAAGTAACAAGTAGTCCCGGGCCTAGCTTATTATAGGGCAGTGATGGTGAACCTTTTAGAGACCGAGTGCCCAAACTGCAACCCAAAACCCACTTATGCATCGTCGGGTGCTGGGTGGGCATGGCCCATTGGGTGGGTGTGGCCCATTGGGTAGGCGTGGTTGTGGTGGTAATGGCAGATTGGGTGGGACTAAAAAGTTCAATCAATCAATTCCAACTTTGCGAGATCTTTTTTTTCCCTGCAAGAAGTTGAAATTGATTGATTGAACTTTTTTTTTTTTTTTTTTTTTTTTGCACATGGTGGCAGAGGCCTACAGCGAAAAGATTTTATAAAACCCAGCTGAAGGCCTAGGGCGATGGCATGCGTGCCCACAGAGAGGGCTCTGCGTGCCACCTGTGGCACACGTGCCATAGGTTTGCCACCACGGCTATAGAGCAAGGAAGATCTAGCCGAGTAATAACAAAAGAGGAACACAGAAAACTGCCTTACACTCGTCCATCCATTATATTAATGTCAGCTTTGCTTGGGTTCAATTCAACTTAAGAGTTTTTAAGCAGTTTTTTCAACTGTACCTGGTAATACAAGTAGTCCTTGTTTAATGACTATCTGCAGTTATAATGGTGATGAAAAAGTAGCTTCTTTATGACCAGTCCTCACACTTAACCACTTTCACAATAGTCGTGATTTCAGTAAGCCACTGCTTTGCTTAACAACAGTGTCGGTGGTTCCAGTCACTGCTAAAATGAGGATTACCTGCAATACGGATTCAGCTGGGGACCTTCTGCAGATAGGTAGTCCTTCGACGTACGACCAAAATTGAGCTCAACGTTTCTGTTGTTAAGCAAGAGGTTTGTTAAGTGAATTTTGCCTTGTTTTACATCCTCTCTTGCCATAGTTAAGAGAATCACTGCAATTGTTAAGTTAGTAACCTGGTTGTAAAGGGAATCTGGCTTCTCGGTTGATGTTGCTTGTCAGAAGGTCGCAAAAGGGGATCACATGTCCTCGGGAGACCGCAGCAGTCATAAATGTGAACCACTTGCCAAGCATCTGAATTTTGATCACATGACCATGGGGATGATGCAATGGTCATAACTGGGACAAAAGGTCATAAGTCACTTTTTTCAGTGCCATTGTAACTTTGAACAGTCACTAAAGGAACAGGTGTAAGTCGAGGACTACCTGTAGAAGGCTGGTGTTCTACCCCTTGATGACTTTCCAAAATCCAGCAAGATTTTGGGCTGTTCAACCTCTTGAGCAGATGGTCTGGATCTGGAACAATTACTTTCAGAGCTTAGAGAACTAGGACAGGTGGGAGTCACAGCAGGTACCTTGCCTTCTTCTAGCAGTACATGTTTAGGGTGTCAATAAGTTCTTGCTTCATGGAAGGACTCCGTTGAAAAGAATGTGAAAATGCCATCTTGTACACCAGAGGTCCCCAATCTATGGTCTGCGGACGGGGCCGTGGTCTCTTGGCCATCGGGCCGTGGAAAATGCTGGCCGGTGCTCACAAGGGTGGGTGTGCATTCCCCCACTCGTGCTAGCGCATGTGTGCAGGCGCAAACGATGCTAGCGCGGGGCGGGTGTCCGCAGCCTGTTTGCACATGCGCCGCTAGTCTGGGCAGTTTGCGCAGCCCGTTTGCACATGTGTGAACAGGCCGCTAGCTGCTGTGGGGGGGCATCAGCGCATGTCGCATGCGTGAACGGGGCTGCTAGTGCTGCGCCAGTGTGCATGGCCTCGCACGCACACATGCACGCACATCAGTTTTGAAGCTGCCCTACACAGAGAAGCTATTGATTAAAGAGGGTGGGATGAATATGGCTGTGTCCTTGAAATCACATTATGTCAGCCTCACTTGATAGGCCACACAGGGAAATCAATTATAGGAAGACCAGAATTAACTTTATTGAGATTGGCTATAATAACAGAATCTTGCAAGTCTGACTCTGCTGTACCTTCCTCCCCAGCCTACTACTTATACTCCAGTACATCAGAGAGATATCTGCCTAGGCCACTTTCTAATTTTTCTCAAATCTTGAAAAAATATTTCAGCCCCCTCTGCCTAGGCAAAAATTATTTCTTGAATTTCTTTCAAGATCATCTTCCCAATTCTCTACAGGTATCGACAAAAATTAATTCAGCATTTAAAACTTGAGTTAATCTTTCCCTGTTGAATCCCTCAGTCTGATTCCTCTTCCTGCCTCACCAGCGTTTTTCAGACAATTCAACACATTTTACTTTTAACTTTTAAAAATACATGAACTGAATTACACACTGTAGCACAGAGCTTATTTCTTAGGGAGAAACAATCATTTTTTTCTCTATTTTTAGTAACAATCTTGCATCAAGAAAGAGAACTGCTGATGGGTAATTCATGACATAATGCCATTCCAATACATGCACAATTGACGTGGCATTACAAATAATGCAAAAATTGTATTATCACTGTGCACGTAAAAAAGTGAGTGTCTGGGGAGGTCTATTAATGCAACCAAGGGGGGGAAATGATTCTTTTATTCCACACTGCATTAAATAAAGTCATTTTTTTTCCTACCAGAACTGAAGTTAATTTTTTTTAAAGGGTATGTGTTCTCCACCTCACTGTTCCAAAATTAATTTTTTTTGCAAAACATTTTTTTGTTTTTGTTTTTTAATTTAAATCACTCAATTTAGGAATATTAAGGTGAGGGAAGGGATGTAAAAAGTTGCATTTAGCAAGCTGCGGTTTTGATTGCCTTAAAAGTAATAATAATTTAAGTTTATATTAGAAAGGATTGTCAGAATCGAATTTTGAAAGCAAGATTTTAAAATTTTCACAAATTAGTTTACCTCCTGCAGATTTTTGAAATTTTCACTAGCATATCTTGACTTTTAGATTTTTTTTATTTTTTTTTTTGGTATGTGTAAATTGCATGGCAGCTTTATAGTATAGAACAGTGATGGTGAACCTTTTAAAGATCGAGTGCCCAAACTGCAACCCAAAACCCACTTATGTATCACTGGGTGCTGGGTGGCTGTGGCCCATTGGGTGGGCGTGGCTGCGGTGGTCACAGCACACTGGGTGGGTGTGTCCAAGGTGGGCGTGGTCACCTTGATGTTGCTCGTGGGGAGGAATGCCTGTGGGGGCCGGGCAGGTTTGGGGGAGATCCAGGAGGTCTCTGGCAGGTGGGACAGTGGGGAGGAGGCTCATCTTGCAGGGTGAGATGAGGCAAGGCGGGGGTGCCATTGTCGCAGGGCAAGGCGAGGCAGGGGCCAGGGCAGCTGCTGCCTGACACCGTCGGCCCCCGCACACAGGCCAGCAAGCGCATGGGGGCTGACAGTGTTTGTCAGCAGCCACAGCCTGCCAGCCCCTTGACTGGTGCACTCTGGGGCTCTGTAGCCCGCCACCAGCAGTTCAGAGAAGCTGTCTCAGCTGGACAGACAGCCAACAGCTGAGGAGGTGATGCAGTGGGTCGTGTCCAGGAAAAGGAGAGCATGCAAGGCCAGGACGGATGGGATGTGGGGGAGGGAAACCAGCTGTGCTGGGATGCATCTAGCCATGTGGGACTTCGGAGAGTTAGCAGGCAGCTGGTTGAAGAGGGACGGTTACCATATCCGGAGCATGGTGCACGTGCCCACAGAGAGGGCTCTGAGTGCCGCCTCTGGCACACGTGCCATAGGTTCGCCACCACTGGTATAGAAAGACATTCTGGGAAAAAATATGGAACAGGATCTGGTCCAATGAATTTGATCAATATGCTGTCTTTCAATTACTATCTAAGCATATGTTGACAAACCATCATCTTTAGTTTATCTCAGCAATCATTTTTCTACATTTCCATCTACAAGGATTTCCCTTCCTAAAATTGCATGTTAAAATCTTTGGGTTACCAATAACTAAATACAGGGATTGTGATGTGATGGTAAAAAGTAAGATGGAAGAAGGAAAAAGTGAAAAGGAATTGAATTTTAAAGGAAAGTTGAGAGGAGGCATTTTAAGTTTACATCTCAGTCATGCTTGTCTTTTAAACATTTCAAATGCCATATAAACAGAAAACATAATATGAGCATAGTATTATAAGCATAACACAAAACTAATATTCCTCCCTCTTCACCTGGTACGGCTCATCCATTAGCCTTCTCTAATATTTCCTAGCACACAGATTATTGTATTGATGTAAAGGTTAATAGAGGTTGTGCATACTGCAAGGTACTGGTCTAGACCAGTGGTTCTCAACCTTTTTAATGCCGTGACCCCCCAACCGGTCGTAAGTCGAGGACTAAACCGGTCGTAAGTCGAGGACTACTCAACTGGTGCAGCACCATTTGCAGAATGGGACTTTTGGCGGGCTCAGCAGGGCAGAGACAGCCTGGACAATTCCTATTGGCTTTTGAAAGGCAATAGAATTAGACTATTCAACAGAGTCTATTCTATTGGCTTTCAAAACCCAATAAAATAAAAGGGAGTAGCACAGCTAAGGAAAAGGGGAAAAAAATGGCGGACTGCGTTGTTTGGCGACCCCCGTGAAATGGTTGTTCGACCCCAAGTGGGGTCCCAACCCACAGGTTGAGAACCACTGGTCTAGACTAACACGTATCTGATTTTTTTCTGGTTGAAAATGGGAAGAAAACAAAACCTGTTCTTTCAGAGGACTGTGCCAAGTCCTCTATCCAAGAAAGCTAGAGTCTCACAACTTATTTTTTAGTCAGAAACTTTGCAAGGAAAACAAGTAATAGAAACTTGGAAACAGGGTGTGTACATACATTAACGAACTTTGTATCAGTAGAAACATGGCAGGCCCTCCTTGATGCTGTTCACCCTAACTTTCCTCTTGATTTCAGGAGGCACTTGATGCCAAATCTTGGTCTGCAGTATTTGGCAAACATCTATTCTAGTTCCCATGCTCAGAGAACTGCAATGCCTTGATGGTAGAAGATAACTGTTCCCTCCCTCAGTTCCTCATGCCAGCACTGAGACTGGTGTAACATATGACGATCCTGAATGCACACTGGGACAATGTGGGATTCACAGCTCCCTGAGCCCAACTTCCTTTTAGTTTTTATATAATATTATATATAAAATATATATTATATATATAATATATATTATTTTTAAGAATATTAAAAACAAAACGGTGATTCCTGGGTAGACTCATGTTAAACAATAAAATATACGA